ACTAATGAAGAAACATCAGTGGCTGTCCTAGCTTCATTCAGCAAGAGCCCACAGCGTAGCACTCGCCGCATGTCACTGGAGAGTGGCATTAGTCTAACATCTTGACATTTCCTTCAAGGTCAACTTTTGGAAGCATGGGTGTTAACAATGAAGGTCAAGGTCAAATGCTCAGCCAACCTAGGCACTCATGTCCCCCAAGGTCTATTTGTTGTGACCTTGGCCATGAATCACCTAAATTAAGTCAGCTTGAGCTGTTACTCCCTCGCATTGGGGGTAGAACAAAGAGAGAGAGAGAGAGACGCTGGGTACCTTGCCGGTCTTTTAAAGGATTAACACAGAGAGACAGAGCTCAAGCTAAAGAGTAAAACCAGAAAAACACAGCATGGATGACACAGACTGAAAATCATAACTAAACACGAGTGAGTGGAAAACAGACAGAGAAGCACTGAATTGAATAAACATAAAATAAAGGGACCAAATCACGTTTGCGTTTAAAGTCTTTTATGCAAAATCCATTCAGGACACATGATTTTTTTATTAAAGACCATAAACAACTCAAAGACATCGCAAAGCAATATTATTTTGCTGTTTACTGATACTTGTTGAGCTCTGGCCGTTTCAGCAGAACTTCGTGGTTTATCAGAAATGGTTTGATTATATTATAAAAAAAAAAAAAACACACACATCATCAAATGTCAGGAAGATGATAGAGAAGTTTACAATCCTTTCCAGTAAATGAATACGAAACAATATGCAACAATGTGAAACAATATGAAACAATGTGTTATGTAACAAAGAACATGAGAATATGAATGCCCTGATTGTGGCAGACCTGTTTAGAGACAATAAAAATCAAGGCTGTCATCATAGTTGTAAGATTAATACATATGAAGTTGTAATGTTTTTTTCTTCCTTTTGTCACTTTTTTTTAAGTTAGGATATTTAAAGCTTTCTTCTAATTTGAATGTTCATTTATGTTCAATTAAAGTAAAGAATACACTGTGAAAAACAATCGATAGAATCTAACCAGTAAATTTGTAACAATTTGCATAGATTTTGTTTAGGCAAATTTTATTACATAGTTTTAGTAAATAGTTCCTTATATTAAAAGCTATGAAATACTAAAACAAATAAGGTGAAGTCTACCCAATACTTCTCAGTACATTACATAACTAATTACTGCTAGAAACTGAATCATTCTAACTTGTGTTTGTGAGTAGATAATTGTTAATCTACTTAATAATACTGATTGATTTAATTTGTTAACCCTCACTTATTCAGGGAAGTTTAGTTTTATCCCAGAACTTCGTTTCAGAAACAAGAGGTGATGATTATGTCAATACTTTTAATCAATAATCCAATGTGCTACCATGAACAACTGGGTCACAAAACAGTCAGCCATTGTGGTAAGGAAAAAGGGCAAGATGGAAATGAAGGGAAAGGAGGGAAAGGAAGGAGAGGTGAAAGGGAAAAGATGAGAGTATACCAAAACCATCTATGTAAAACACTGAAAAAAGCCAAACGTCAGACCACTTTTGCAAATATGTGATGTCTGGATAAACCGAGCAGATATTTGAAGTTTACACGGCTACATTTTTCCTGCAAACATGTTAAAAGTTTATTTTGTGACCCAGAAAGAGTAATATTTTAAACTCCAATAATAATAATAATAATAATAATAATAATAATAATAATAATTTAGTTTAATTTAATTACTTAATTTCATTAAGTATTGAAAAGAGTAATACAAGTAATAAGACAACTAAGTTGTTGCTTCCATTGATGGAAACTGAAATTGGCTGGGCTGCGCTATGATTTCTGGGATAGGTTGGGCCATGAAGGATACACCCGACCCATCCTTCAAATCTGGGGAAAAGGGGGATGCATTTGTTGGCCGCATTTGGAGCAGCCTTCGAATTTGGACAACCTTTGTCACGTCACTGTGATATAATCAGCCTTCAAATGCGGCCTCCGAAGAATGCAGCCCCTGAACTGAGACACAGCCACAGACTAGACAAGGAACAGAGGAAGCATGTGAACCAAAACCTAAGACCTATAAGTCATAACCCAAGAAGAACTGGAGAGCTCAAAATACAAAACTGAAGCCAAAACACTGGTAGTAATAAACCAAGATGAAACTTAATGATAATAGCAGTAACATTGGGCCACTGACCCAGGACTGTGACAAAAGCAACATCTCTTATTTAGACTGGCTGAACTCTTTCTTTGGTGTTTTCTGGTTAGAGTCACTGTATAAGTAATTTATTGTTAGTTTGACTGAATTTTATTTTAATAAGGCTTTATCAGCAAAACAATTTTTTTTAAAAAAAGTTTAATATAGATATTGGGTGTTTCTTTCCTCCTTCCTCATTATATTAACATTAGCTGTGAGATTAAAACAATGAGTAAATATTCCCTGTGATCCACCATCAGAGCTACCAGTGGATGATTCTGTATTCATGAAAATCAAGGTGAGTCAAATTTAATGACTTTTGCACAGACACACAAAAGACAGGTTACAGTGTGCATTCACATCTTTATTGTAGCATTGTACTAGCAGGAACAGAAGGTTCAGTGCTTCTAAGGACAGGTAATGCGTGTTGCACAAACATAAGGTAAATTGGTAGC